TCGCACCAGCCGACCGCGGTGATGATGGATATGAACCAGGTGCCTGTGTCCATTCCAGTCCCACTTCCTCATCATCACCGTCATACTCTGCCGCTGTATTCAGGACCACCACCTCCTCCTCCTCACTTGTCTGGAGTGTGTTCTGCTGGCACCAGCGGTGCCTGCCAGCTACACGGACTCTATGCCTGCCCACAGTTTCCACCTACCTGCCAAGTAAGTCTGAAAACCACCGTATTCATAACTTTGATATGTGCAAGAACGAAGTGGAATTTTGTAGGACATCAACCTTTTCCCATCTTCCTCCAATTTCCGTATGTTTTTTTGTAGTATAGTAGTCTAAAACATCCTGACAGTCTTATAAACAGCACAGTCTTGTAATATCAACCATGTAACGAGTTTTCAATGTAGGAAGCCCTTCAGGTAGGTTTTCAGTTTTCACATAAATGGGATGTTGTCTTTAAGTTGCGTAAATTATCAGTCTGCTGGTTTAACTTTTACGTTTTGTAACATAATGAAGTTTCTCATATCACGGTCGTGTTTATCTTGCAGGTTCATCAGTTTGGGAACTGTATGCCGCCGCAGCAGCATCATCATCACCACCACCACCATCATCAGTCCTACCCAGCGTTCCTAACACAGCCACAACCTGGTACTTATCCTCCACAGCACAACCCTCTACCAGTGCCACCGGGAGTCCACACCACACACTATGCACATCCACATCAGCATTTGCAACCTCAGGTATGCAGAACAGCACATTGAGATGCACTTTTATACTTGAAATGTATGTTTCTGCTACACCATGTACTTATCAAACTTGTTCTTTATATGAGCTCAACTTTTCATACGTAGGGCAGTCAAAAAGTTCCAGGAATTGTGGTATAGCACTGTAATGGTAGGACATATGGCAACGCTTACCTAATCACCTTCAAAGTAGGACCCTTGCGCGCATACACACTTGCTCCATCGATCCTGCTATTGTATAAGCACCGGCGGAACGCTTCGTTTGGAATCTTCTGGAGTTCGGCCATCGCGTTCGACACATCGCTGGTTGTGCAGCAATTCCTCGCTGAGAAAAGCATTCCCATCATCACCCAACTGCCATACTTTCCGGATCTCGCTCCGAGTGACTTCTGGCTGTTCCCTACTCTGAAAATGGGCCTCAAGGGGGCACATTTCGCAACCATGGAGGACATCAAATCGAATGCGACGGCCGAACTCCGGAAGATTCCAAACGAAGCCTTCTGCCGGTGCTTCCAACAATGACAGGATCGACGGAGCAAGTGTGTGTGCGCGCAAGGGTCCTACTTTGAAGGTGATCAGGTAAGCGTTGCCGTATGTGCTATACCACAATTCCGGGAACTTTTTGACTGCCCCTCGTATATCTGTAAAGAACCCATGATTTGCCTTGTATATGCACTAACAAATTTATGTTGCAGAGACCAGATGGTGTGGACATGGAACTTCTGACTGAGCAGCATCGCAGTAATGCACCTGCATTCCACCATCACCATCACCCCACTGCTCACCCCTCATTACATCCCAGTCCTCACCCCTCAATGCACCACCATCCCCACCCCCATCCTTCTGCAGCTGCATTGGCTCAAGTATCACCACCACCCCCAATATTCCTCTCGGAGGTAAGTATCGTTATATGGGACTCAGACTTTTGAGAGGTTGCGAAATTTTATTTTGGAAAGTAATATTTACATCACGCATATTCTGTAAGCTGTAATACGCTTATCAGAATTATTCAAGACTTACAGTTTTTGTGGGACTAAAAGTGAATGATCAGCCATGTCAGGTCAGAGAAAAATTGCAGTATTTCACAGACCACGTCTCTGTCACTTGCTTGATGTCGCGCACTTCCTGACGGACACATGAATTTTTATTCTTTGGCATTTTGTTCCGGACAACCGCGGTGCCACGTATCAGTGGAGGACTAGGGGTTATGTCTACCAGGAGTTGGTGGTCAGAACGGAATCTGTGGAGTTTGTGACCTTCAAGTTGTGGTGCCTATGTGTGAATACACCCCTAATTCTTATTGTACTTGTTCATAACATGTAGAAAATTGTACTGGCTTCTTTGGACCAAGCCTTTACTGTGGGGTCTGAAAGTGATCTATTGTGACACATGGCTGGCTGGATTGTTATAAGGTTGTGATGCAGAACTGATTACGATAAGGTTGTTCAGGGCGTCTTTAGGTTAGATCCTACCAAGACATGAACGTATTGATACAGATATTGGTAAATTTTAATATATGCTTGAACTTACAGGCACGAGGTAGTCAGCTGGACCATATACCATCATGCACCAGGCATCCGAGCTCACAGAGTAGGCGTGTTAGTACACATCAGTGGCGTGGAAATACCCTTCCACCTGGTCCAGCTGTATATTCAGGACTGCTTCTGCGTGTCTTGTAAGCGATACATAACATTCTTTTGGCTACTGAAATAACTACCAGTATATCGTCATCTTTTCTTACAGTACAGAAATATATGCTTTAGTTATGAAGATATAATAAATTATGTTTATTATTTTGCAGAGCGGTGTTTTCAAATCCACCACTGTCACCATACAGTCAGGCAGAACTGGGAAGCCCAGATTCAACAGAGACGGAGAACTATGAAGCACT